GTTTCATCATAATCAATGCCCTCAGTTTGGTGATTACCGAAGACGACCAAGCGGGCTTTCAAGCGCTCAATACTAGCATCCGAATTGTACTTGATTTTATACAACCATTGACTGCCCAATGCTTTCTTACCAGGAGGAAGCGGAGTAAGAGTCCAAGTCCCATTATCATCCAATGCTCGCATTTTAGTTTGCATGCCCTGCCACCATCCTTCATCACGAAATGCCTCCTTAAATGAGTGTTGTTCATGACCTGCGTTTATGGCTGCCACAAAATTGCGATGTTTGACAGAAAACCGTTCACAGTTTATGTAATGAGCAATAGGATATGGCATACCTAAGGAAGGTGAAGGATTGGCGGCCTTAACAGCAGAAGATGGACTATGCTTTTGAACCGCTGTCAATGTAACCTCATAATCATGTAACGTAACATTTGGAATTTTCACTCGTTGACCACGTCCAAGGTTGTCATTTGAAGTAGTGGGGTCCGATAGTGAAGGAGATGTCGTAGTGGGAGGATACGGCGGAGACAGTGAGGACGGAGGTACCTGATGTGCAACTGTAGGGGTCACATCCTCAATGTATACATCATTGGAGGGATTATCAATCACTGAGGCAGGGAGATGATCGTTGTGAGCATTACTCGCAGCGTCAATATATGGGAATACAGTCTCATAAAATTTGACATCCCTAGAAACAAATAAAGTGTCATTATCCAAGTCATACAAAGTCCAACCCTTTTGACCAAAAGGGTACCCCAGAAAAACACACTTACGACTACGACTAGCAAATTTATCACCCTTGGATTTTTGATTATGTGCATAACATAAGCAGCCAAACGTGCGTAATTCTTGAAAGGTGGGTGCTTGACCGAAAAGAATCTCATAAGGTGTTTTATTGCCAAGAAGGGGAGTGGGCGTGCGATTAATAACATGAGCAGCGACAAGAGCGCACTCCCCCCAAAAATGTATGGGCAGTCCACCTTGAAAGCGAAGAGCACGAGCCACATTAAGGATATGTTGGTGCTTTCGCTCGACTTTGCCATTTTGTTGAGGAGTCCCCACGCATGACGTTTGAAATAATATGCCATTAGCGTCAAAATAATCCTTCAGACATCAGAATTCAATGCCATTGTCACTGCGAACACTTTTGATTTTTTGAGAAAATTGTGTGACAACCATATTTGCAAAGCTAATAAAAATACGATAAACCTCCAACTTATCAATCATGAAGAAGGTTCGGGATAAGGTCCCCATAGATCACAATGAACAAGTTCGAAAATACGAGAAGTCTTAGTATCACTTAAAGGAAAACTGTTCCTAGATTGTGTTGCACGGTGACATATGTCACATGCTTTATTAAGTTGAGCACTAGCAGACACAAAAGGAAGCAATTTTACGATTCTTTCGGAAGGATGGCCAAGTCGTTGATGCCATAGCTCCAAGGAAGACATACCAGTAGTAGTTACAACACAAACGATTGCTTCATGCCGGAGATAATGTTGTCCATCTTCGCGTTTACCCGTCCCAATCACCTTCCTCGTGCGTGGGTCCTGAATAGTACAAGCAGTAGAGTTAATGATAACATCACAAGCAAGGTTATCAGTCAATTGAGATACTGAAATTAGGTTGCAATTAAGGGCTGGAACAAATTACACATGTTCAAGAGTAATATTGGCAGAGAGCTGGACACGCCCTTCCTGTGAGACAACCACCAGACGACCATCAAGAAGCCCAACTGAGCACGGTTGGATACCTGTGAGATGTGTGAGGGAATCGAGGTGCCCAGTAACATGGTTTGAACACCCCGAGTCAATACGCCACTTACCATTGAGACAATGGGATGGAGGGGAAGACGAACCAAAAAATGACATAAGAGCTTTCCATTGTTCGGGGCTGAACTCATTGAGCATGGGTGGAGCAGTAGGAATGGATGAGGAGGCAGCCTTATTGGCTTGGACAGACCCTCGACCATAAGTAACAGAAGTTACAGGTGGAGTCGGCGTATGACGGTGAGAAGTTGGAGAAGGATTGCTTGGCGATACTCCTTTTTTTCCAATACGTTCAACATACCACTCGGGGACCCCATGAATCTCAAAACATGTGCTGATATCGTGGCCCCCTTTATGACAATGAGAACACACTAGAGCAGCTTTTTCGGTTCAATTAAGGGGTTTTGAGTGAGGTACAACCCGAGTAGCAAAGCTGGAGACCTGCGGTGGCTCCTCCTTGATTTCAGTGATGCCGCGGACGCGTTCGTCTTGGGAAATGGTCTAAAAAGTCCGATTCATTGTAGGAAGAGGATCCTAGGCCAGTAAGTTGGAGCGGAATGAGGAGTAGTATTCTGAAAAGAGACCCAACAAAAATTGATGAAGATGGGCGGACTCCCGGCGTTTAGCATGCTGCGTGCCGACATCACAGGTGCACCGGCCACAAGTGCAGGTAATTAGAGGTTCCTGTTTCGCAAGTTCATCCCACGACGTGGACACTTGATTGTAATAGACAGCTACAGACATAGTTTTGGTCTGCACACACGATTGGATAGCAGATCATAGTTGTTGAATGCGAGGACCATTGACCAGACCAAATCTCCCCTGTAAATCGTCCCAGAGTTTCTTTCCATCATCGTAATTAGGAAGAAGATGCTTGACTTCAGGATCAATTGTGTTTGTGAGCCACGAAACAAGCATACATTGAATGGTAAGCCAATCATCGTTAGTGGTCGGAGAAGAAAAAGTTTCAATAGAGCCGTCCAGAAAACCATATTTACGGTGAGAGATTAGAGCTATGCGAATGGAATGAGCCCAGTCATCATAGTTGTCAAGTTTGAGGCGCACAGGGGTTATGTACTCGCCTGGGCGATCTTGAGGGCTGAGATAAAAAGGAGAATTGATCGGTATAGGGGTAGGCGGAGGTGGCAGAGTGTTGCCGTCCACCATATAGGTAAACCTCATTGTGCTTTATTCATCCACCGCATTGGTTCAAATAAGAACATGATCTTAGGAGAGAAATGAGAATGAATCTGGACCGTTAGATTTACTTTATGTGAAATTCAATGTGCATTAGGTGAAATTGAAATGTGCAACACAAAAGGTACGATACAGTGACATTATGTGAAGCTAAATTGTGCATTAGGTGAAACTGGAATGTGCACTAGGTGAAACTGAAATGTGCAGAATAAAAGGTACGACATGATGTTATTTTTGTACCTTTTACTCCGCACATTTTCATTTCATCTTATGCACACTCGAGTTTAAATTTTTATTCTGCACATTTCAATATCATCTAATGCACATTTCAGTTTCATCAAATGCACAATTCGGTTCCACATAATACAATCCAACGGTCCAGATTCATTCTCATTTTTCTCCTGGGAGTCCGTTCTTACCGGAACCGCTCCCTATATATATGTATGCTTACAAATACAGAGTAATAGAGATAAAATAGGAAAGAGATAATATATCATGGAAACTATCCTTCTAATTAGAGATAAAATCCCTATAAATCCGTAGTATTAACTATTTTGTAATAATATATTTGTCTCTTCTTCTATTTCTTGTTTACTGTGTACTATTTTAATGATTCATTTTATTAATACGAAGTATTATATTACATCCGTCCCAATGGACTTTGCACTCCTTAAGTTAGGTGAGAAATAAGAATAGTAAAAATTTTGTGGTTCAAGTTTGTGCAGAGGAGAGAGAAATGAGTAGAACCACAAAATAGTTACTTTAATGGGAAAATGAAAAAGTTTTTTGAGACAACAAAAAGAGGAAAGATGACAAAGTCCAGTGGGACGGAGGGAGTATAAAAGTTGTAACTTATAATAATGAGGGTCTACAATTTTTTTTTGTTTAAATTACCGCCCTCCACATGACTTTCCTAGGTAGAGATAAAAGATGGCAATTTCGACCGACCCGTTGGATACCCGCACTGAACCGATTTGGTCAAAGTGGGGAAAACCGGTTTGACTGGGGAAACGGGTACAGGCGGGGAATACCTGATTTTTTTAAATGGATAATGGTGCGGTTATGGTTCTATACTAATCCGCCCCGTTACCCGCCCCAAAACCACCCCGTTCACTAATGGTGCGGGTATCCGCACCGTTACCCGATCTGTAACATTATTAATAAATTATGATGTTCACCTTTTAATTGCAACCGTCAATATTTCACGTTTGATAACGCACAAGTTTGACCATTAATATCTTTCATTCCCAATTAGTAAAAAACTTAAATAATTCATATTTTGAAAATTTAGAATGAGAAGAATTTAACAATATTTTTTTAAAATTTAATTTATAATACATTAATTAATAAAATATAGTCAAAGTAGAGTATGTGAATAGTTCAAAAAATCCAATGTTGCAAATCAAACGGATGTAGTATAAGAATAATAAGTATATATGCTAAATTGTTTACACTAAATCGTATATCTCATTAAAGTATATAAAGAATAATACACCAGAGACCCACTTCAAAAACTCTAACATCCCTAACTCAATGTATTATGGATTCATGGCTCAGGGCTCTGCTTCTTAACGGTGAGAACAACTCTCTTTGATACTTCTAGATGGAACAATGCTAGGCCTGCAGTTCGGCTCTACCGCCGGTGACTTCTAATCTTTCCCATTATCAAGGATCAACACAGTTCTTTCTTTCTTCTTTTTACTACTTTTTTATTATGTTACAAGAGATATTGGGTGCTTCTCATACTAATGAATTTGTGATTAAAACTGCTTGATTGCTTGACTATTTACTTTTGTATGTTTTATGGTGCTTTTAATATATAATTTACTACGAAGGATGTTTACATTAACAAGTAGGGTTAGAAATTGATTATTTGGTATCATTTGTGCAAACGGGTACCCGTGGATAAATCGATTCCCCGTTGGAGCGGGTACGATCCAAATAAAACTTACCCAATAGGTAATGAGGCGGTTTTGGGGCAATTATTTATCCAACTGGCGGTTTCAATTTTATGTGTACCCCTCTCCCATCCACCCCTGGTGCCATCCCTATTCCTAGGTCCCTGGCTATACACTAAACGTTGGGTTGGTTTGTATGAGAGCTTAGACAAAAAATCTATCAGAGCTCCTTCCTGGAGATTGTGGATGACCTAGACGAGAGGAGAGATGGAGCACAGAGCCACAGACTGGTGTCAGTGAAGAATAACGTGCAAGACATGCGCAACATCGTTGATGAGATACACGGTTGGATGTTGAAGGAGGGTCGCAGAATAAATGCAAAGCTGGAAAAACCGTGAACTCTGATGACGCAACAGAATATCCAACGATTGCGAGGAAGATCTCGGACGCCTAGGTAGAAGCGTCGCGAGGCGAGTACGAATTCTGCCGACTCAGGAGGTAATTTCGATCGGTCTAGATCTTCGTATTCCAGGCGCGATAACAGTAACAATATGGCGTTAATGAAAACTGGAAGAAAAATAGACTTACCGTTATTCAATGGAACAGAAGCTTATGGCTGCATAATAAGAACTGAGAGATTTTTTGTCTGAATAGTATCCTAGACGAGGAAAAATTGAGTTAATCATGGATGCTCGGAGGACAAGACACTCAATTGGTACCAATGGTGGGAGGAGCAGACTACTGTCTGTACCTGGGAGGTTTCAAATATGTTATCATTAGAAGATTTCAGCCTGATATGGTACAAAACCCATATGGCCCTATGCTAAGTATGAAGCAAACGAGTTCAGTGATGGATTACAGGGACATATTTGAGTTGGTGGTAGCCCCACTTAGAAACACTGATAATGATATGCTTAAAGGCATCTTCAACAATGGGCTGAAAGAAGAGATCAAAGCAGAGTTGAAGTTATATCCATCTCAACATTTAACAGAAATTATGGACCGAGCAGTGTTGAATTGTTGATAGAAGAGAAAAATGCAGCTCTGAAAAAAGGAGTAATAAGGATGAGGACAAACGATGGTGGTATGCAGTGCTGTATTTCAATTTTGTTCCAGCCAACTTGAAAAATTCAGACCAAAAAGTACTCAGGAAAATAGTATCTCTGTCAGATACAAAAGTTCTTTGAAACCCATGTAATTCAACAATTCCTTTGGCAGTATGTGCCTTGGACTGAAGGACACAAACTCAGGAATTCATTTACAAAAATATGGCTACTGACAAAATGGAGAACTCAACAAAAGGTGAAGGAGATCCAACTGTCAGTAAGGTAGGGAGGAATGAAGACATATTATCTCAAGAAGAGTTATAAGACAAGAGCACAACTGTAGTTATCATGATTGATTCTGAAACATCCCACAATTTCATATCTCAAAAACTGGCCACAAACATGCATCTTCCTATACAATCAACTTCAGAATTTCATGTAGAAATGGGTAATGGGGAGAGAATATCCACAATCAAGGAAAGTGTTCTACGTTGAAAATTGAAGTGAAGGGCTATTGGATTATACAAGATTTCTATCTTCTGGAGTAAGGTGGAACTGATCTGGTTCTAGGAATGGAATTGAAGTTGGTCAGTCTGGGAGAAATAGAAGCTGACTTCTAGGAGTTAACTATTCAGTGGGCAGAGGAAAGACATGTTCAGTTGTTGAGAGGAGATTCAACTTTAAGCCTTGGAGATTCAACTTCACGCTACTTGGAAATCTATTCTTAAAACCTTGCAAGGACAAGGAGAAGGGTACTTCATACAGTATGAAGAAATTACTTCTAAGGAAGTAAACATTGACGAAGAATGGGAGCAAGTGATAAAAGAATATGCTGCACCGACAGTGTGACTATGCTATAAAAATAAAGGAAGAGGCCACCATACCAAATTTAAGGCCTTACAGGTACCCTCAGTAATTAGTATCAGAAGGATGTGATTGAAAATATAGTAAAGGAGATGCTGAAGGCAGGGATCATAACACTAAGTAACAGTCCCTACAACATCCCTGTAATCCTAGCCAAAAAAAGGGAGGTGGATATTTTGTGGTGATTACAGGGCCCTGAACAAGATAACTATCCCTTATAAATTCCCTATACCTCTTATTAAAGAATTGTTGGATGAGCTAGGAAACACCAAAATATTCTCCAAATTGGATCTCAAGTTAGGATATCATCAAATCAGAACGAAGGAAGAGGATGTTCACAAAACAGCTTTTAGAACACATGAGGGTCACTATGAGTATCTAGTGATGCCTTTTGGGTTAACTAACGCCCCTCTACATTTCAGTTCCTTATGAATCAGATTTTAAAAACCTATGTACGGAAGTTTGTGCTAGTATTCTTTGATGATATACTTATCTACAACATAAAAGCAGAAGAGCACCAGGAACACCTCAGGAAGGTGCTGCAACTATTAGCTGAAAATAGCTTGGTGGTCAATAAAAAGAAGTGTAGATTTGGGCAGTCACAACTGATACATTTGGGGCACATTATCTCAGGGAATGGGGTGACATCAGATCCCAATAAAATAAAAGATATGGTGGAGTGGCCTTTACACTAAAATATCAAAGGATTGAGAGGGTTTTTGGGGTTAACATGTTATTATAGGAGATTTGTTGAAGGGTACAACAAGATTGCTTCTGGGACTAGTGTCGGGGCAGTGTTAATGCGACAAGGAAGACTTATTGCTTACATGATTAAGGTGATGTCTCCTAGAAACCAATGCAAATCAGTGTATGAAAGGTAGTTGTTAGCTATAGTTTGGGGCTTTGGGCAATTCAAAAGTGGAGACCCTACTTACTAGTGAGAATTTTTTAGGTGCATACGAATCGCAAGAGTCCCAAGTTTCTTACTGAACAAAGACTATTGGGAGAAGAGAATCAAAAATGGATTTCCAAGTTAATATGGTAAAATTTCATCATCAAATATAAGAAAGGAAATGAAAATAAGACTGTGGATGCACTATCAAGAAAGAGTAGCCTCACAGCCTTATCTGTAGTCACTTGTCAGGGAGGGATTGGAAGAAGAGTTGTTGAAAGATACCAGTTGTCAGAAAATAATTGAGAATCTTTTGGCCAATTCTAACTCTAATTCTGGGTTCCAATTGAAGAAGGGGCTCCTTTATCATAAGGGGAGGTTGGTAATTCCTAAAGGATCTCCTAGAATACCTATGGGGGACATTCTGGCAATCTGAAAACTTTAAGAAGGATCACAAGATTCACAAATGTGTTATACTGGGAGGGTATGAGATCTGCAGCAATACATCCGGAGTTGTGATACTTGCCAAAGAAATAAATATTAAAACCTCAACCCAGCTGCACTTTTGCAAGTCTGCAACCATTACCTATACCACCACAAGTTTGGGAGGATCTGAGCATGTATTTTATTGGAGGACTCCCTAGATCTATGGGGAAAAACTCAATCTTAGTTGTTGTGGACAGGCTAACAAACTTTGTTCATTTTATAGCCTTAGCCCATCCCTATACGGCCAAAGGAGTTGCAGAAGTGTTCATCCAAGAAATTGTTAAATTACATGGGTTTCCTAGAACTATTGTATTTGACAGAGATAATGTTTGCATTTCCCTGAGCACTTTTTGGTCTGATTTGTTCAAAGTTGGTTGGAACAAAATTGAAATACACCACTGCATACCACCCTTAGACACATGGACAAACTGAAGTGGTAAACAGGTGTCTAGATTCTTTCCTAAGGTGTATCAACGTTTGCAATTGCGCAATGCAATAGCGCCTTATGGCGCGCCTCTGTTATTTCCTCAGCTGTGGCGTAAAATTGCATTGCATATTGTGAGTAGGTCTGTAGCGTAGGTTAGTTGCGTTAAGGCGTACACAATATATCGTGCGCAATGAGGCGCTAGCATGGCGTACGTTATACTTTCGACGAGTCTTTTTTTTTGGGTCCGCCGGGCCCAGTTTTAGTAAAATAGATACCACATACGGTACAAGACTACATGGTATTATTATATACGGAGTATATTATATACTGCGTTCTTCTCACCGCAAATCTTAGCGGTAATTCATACGCAATAAGCCAAATTACCCGTTCTTTCCACCGTCTGCTTTCCGTTTGCCGTTTGGTCACTTCTTCAGCCTTCTCTTTGACAGTTCAACGGTACTGCTTCTCTCATTGATGATTCGTTCTTGTTTCTATTGAATTTAATACTAGATATTAATGTTAATTTTCTGCTTATTAATAGTTTAATACTTCATATTTTTCTGGCTGGAAAAATCATATTGACAACTTCATGATTTTCTGTTTGTGTTTTCCCATCTTGTTAGTTTTCTGCTTATTATTGCTTCATGTTAATTTTCTGCTTGTTAATTTTCTGCTCTTGTTAATTTTCTGCTTATTATTACTTCATGTTAATTTTATGCTTGTTAATTTTCTCGTTATTAATACTTGATGTTAATTCCCAGCTTGTTTATGTTATTTTTGCTTATTCGTTTTTGTATATACTGCTTCTCCGTTTGATGCTTAAATTTTGTTTCCATTGAATTTAATACTAAATAATATTTAGTATGATTTTATTTAGTGTTAATTTTCTGCCTGTGAATACTTTTTGATTTTATTTTAGTTATTGTATTTAATGATAACTTCAACGTTGTATTGCTTCTCCATATGACAGGTTTTGTGTCTATTTAATTAAACACTACATATTAATGTTATTTTCCTGCCTATTAATATTTTATTATTATTCTTCCATTAATTTTCAACTTATCAATATGTTTTTTCAGTTATATTATTTAATGATAACTTCAACTTTGATGCAATATTAATATTAAATTTTCTGTTTAGTTTAATGTTAAATATTAATGTTAATTTAGCAGCAGTCAAGTTTCTGCATATTAGTATATTCTTTTTTGTTTTCATATTTGATCTAACTTCACCTTTAAGTCACTATTAAAATTAGTATTTAGTGTTCTACAGTTCTACTTAATTCAATTTTACATCATATATACGATATATATATATATATATTATGCTAATATATCATTTTTGTTATTTTCTTACGCCATAGATATCTTTTTTGGAATCATGACTAAATCGAATAAAAATGACTCTGCGTGGAAACATGGTGAGGAAATTGAACGAGAAGGGTTGAAGGGCAAATCTTATAAATATGTAAAATGTCACTATTGCCTTAAAGAGACCACATGAGGGGTAACCAGATTCAAGCATCATCTCTCTTGCACAAAACAAAATGTAAGCAGGTGTCCATCTGTTCCGGAAGACATAAAGAAATACATGTTAGACCTTTTGAACTGGGGGAAGAAAACACAAGCAGTTCGGGACATAGATCGAGAAGAGGTTATTAATAGTGGTTCATACTATCAAAGTATGAATCCCCATGACGTAGATTCAAATGAAGGTAGCAGTAGCCAACGAGGAGTCCGGGCCCTATGGATAGATTGTCATCGATGTCGAAGGTGATAATAAGCAAACTCCTGTAGGTGAAAAAGAAGCCAGAGAAAAGTGTTGCTTGGATGTTGGGAGATTTTTTTTCAAGAATGGTATTCCATTTAATGTTGCCAATTCACCTTCATTTATCAACATGTGTCGTGCAATCGGTAATTATGGATGGGGTTTCATGCCACTTTCAGCTTACGAGCTTAGCCATTGGATTCTAGATGAGGAAGTGAAGACGAATGAGAAACTTGTTGAGGAGGTGAAGTCGACATGGACACAAACAGGAGTGTCTATATTATCCGATGGGTGGAAGAATATGCACGGAAGACAGTTGATCAACTTTCTCGTCAATAATCCTTATGGAACTGTATTTTTGAAATCAGTTGATGCCTCAGCTCATGTCAAAGATGCACGGATGTTGTGCAAGCTTCTGGATGGTGTCGTGGAAGAAGTAGGGGAAGATATTGTTACTCAAGTTGTAACTGATAACGCCTCCAACTATAAAGCGGCCAGCAAATTGTTAATGGCGAAGCGACATCGTCTTTGGTGGACACCTTGTGTGGCTCATTGTATTGATTTGATTTTTGAGAAAATTGGAGAGCTCCCACAACACAAGAATGCACTAGCAAAGGCTAAGACAATAAGTAAATAATATGAAATTTAATTATCATTTAAAATTTCAAATTTAATATATTAATATACTAATATATTATTTTGTTATAGGTGATTCACTATATATACAATCACGGATGGGCACTGGCTTTGATGCGACAAATGTTAAAAAGAGATCTTGTTCGTCCAGCTGCCACAAGATTTGCTACGGCATACCTTACGTTGCAAAGCATGCATAATTCAAAAGATGAATTGGAAGAAATGTTTGTTTCTAAGGAATGGTCATCTCATCACATGTCTAAAACCGCAGAAGCAAAGAAGGTGAAACAAATTGTGTTAAGGGACAATTTTTTTTGGCCAAGCGTGGTGTATGCAATCAAAACAACAAAGCCTTTGTTTACCGTGTTGAGGATGGCAGACTCAGAAAAGGTCCCTGGTATGGGGTTTTTATATGGTTCTATGGATCATGAAAAAGAAGAGAGAGATAAAAACTTGGGCAGGGATGTGCATTGGCTGCATATAAAGAGATTTGGAGCATAATCGATGAGAAGTGGGAATTTCAGATGCATCGTGATTTGCATGCAGCACCTTATTATCTTAACCCCTGTTACCAATATGATCCTAATATGTCCAATCATCCAGAGATTAAACTTGGTTTGTTTAATTGTGTGGCAAAAATGTTTCCAGATCGAGAAGTGCAGGAGAAGATACATTTGCAGATGGATGATTATTGTTTGAAAAGAGGATTCTTCGGTCATGATGTGGCGAAAAGCACGGTTGATAAACGTAGTCCTGGTATGAAAAGTTTATTAATATTTTATACTTATTTTTTATTACAAATTAATAATTTTAATTATGTTACTGTAGTGGACTGGACTGGTGGTGTCAATATGGGGATCAAACACCTGAATTAATGGCTTTTGCTGTGAGGGTGTTAAGTCTTACGTGTTCATCGTCTGCTTGTGAGCGTAATTGGAGCACGTTTAATCAGGTATTAAATCAGTTTATAAATAATTAGTATACCATATCAGTTAATTAAGTAAATAATAAAGTGTAACTAAAATCTTGTAAATACACACCAAGAGAAGGAACCGTTTGCATACACATAATTTGAACAAGTTGGTGTTTGTGATGTATAACAAGAGACTAAAGACAAAGTGGATGAAAAGAACATCACTTAAAGAAGACATTGATCCTTTAGTGATGGATGAGATTCCATCATGGGTGATTGATGAAGATGAGACAAATCCTGATGATGTTGCTCGTGTTGATGATTGTGATGGTGAAGCTAGTGTTGCACGTTCTTCAAGTCAAGAACTTGTTCGTGGCAGTGGAAACGGTCGTGAACAAGGACGGTTGAGAGGAAATAGTCAAGGTAAAAAAAGAAAGCGTCTCGATAAAGGAAAGGGAGAATTGCACTTGATCGATGAAGATGAAGAACTCTATGGTGATGATACTGATTTCAATTTTGACCTTGATGAGGATGAAGGAAACGTTGATGGTTATGATCCTTATTTCAGACCACTAGATAGTGATGATTCGATTTTTCAATCATCAATCTAATATGTTTAGGATTATTTTATGATGTTTCAGAAATTTTTGCTATAATTCAGGATTATTTTCCAAAGATTTTTACAACATTATGATTTGTTTTAATATTGCATTTGCTGGTTTCTCTTGAATAATGTTTTTTGATATATATATATTTATATATAAATAAATATATTTACGCCTCAACAATACACCTCATTGCGCAATGAGGCTTACGCAATATGCAATTCTAAAAAACCGCCATGACTACGCAATACACCATTTCGAACATTGAGGTGTATTACTGGAAGCAAGCCCAAACATTGGCCAAAGTGGTTAGCATGGGCTGATTTTTGGTATAACACCATGAATCCGTCAAATGCTCTCCTTTCAAGGCTCTATATGGAAGAGATCCACCAGCTCTAGTAGTCACAACTGCAGTGGAAGAGGTGTCTAGACTCACCGCAGAGAGGAATGATATGCTTTAAGAGCTGAAAAACAATCTCGACATTGCTCAAAACAGGACGACGCAGCAGGCTAATAAGAATAGGAGGGATATGGAATTGAAGGTGGGAGATAAGGTATTCCTGAAAATTCAACCTTATAAATTGAAGAATTTGGCAAAGAGGGTTAATAAAAAATTGAGTCTTAGATTCTATGGTCCCTTTGAAATTATTGAGGTAATTAATCCAGTGGCATACAAGATACAATTATGTGAGGGTTGTGTTGTACACACTGTTTTTCACATCTCTTTACTCAAGAAATCAGTTACTCCCAACACTCCTTGTCAACCAACCTCTTCCAGATTGTATATCAGAAGAATGGGAGCTCCAATCACAACCTAAAAAGGTGCTGAATTTTAAACATTCAGACATGGGAACTAAGGAAATCTTAGTACGTTGGAAACACTTACCGGAGTTTGAGAATTCTTGGTAGGATTTGAATCTTATCAAGGAGCAATTTCCTCATTTCCACCTTGACGACAAGGTGTTTTCAAAAGGGAGGAGTGATGATGCAGGTCCGAATTTGCTTTCTATTAATCCCAATAGGGATTTCACTAAAGTCTATGAAAGGAGGGGTAAGAAAGTAAAGAAACAATTCAGGGGAGTGGAGGACGAGAATAATAGATAGGCTGAAGTGGAGTGTGGTATGTGTGGGAAGGTGATGCATTCATAGGGTGTCAATATCACCGTAAAAGAAAGAAAGATAAAAATCAGCAAATCACACAGACAAATCAGATTGATTTGGAAGACAAATAAAATCAAACAAATCTGGGAGACAAATAAATCAGACAAATTTGATAAACCTGTCTCAGTCAGGGATTTGAGATCCTTAGAGATCTGAGATATTATTTTCTGATTGCAATCTTTGAATTATTGTTTTCTTTATTTTGTTTTCCAAACTCTGTAAACCCTATTTAAAGGCCATTTGAATGCAGGGAAAAGTATGCAAGTTTTTAGCAAGAGAAGTCTAAGGGAGTTTCTGGAATTCTCAATTAAAAAATCCAACTTTTGATAAAAGTTTGCATAAATATATTATCCCTACTTTCTGCCAAACAGTAAACAGAGCCAACCCTTCCATAGCTCAGTCTACCCTCCCACTCACCTGAAGGCCCGTGACGAGATCCTGCACACAAGCTGCCCGTAACAGAAGAGAATAAAAGAGCAGACATGAGAAGGCTGGCCAGAAGTTTGTTAGAAAGTTGGAGAGAGATCCTCTCGAAGAGATCTCAGCTTTATGAATCCAAATCAAAAATCGAATTAAAATAATTTGTTTTCATTTTCAACCCTTACTTCTTATGATACTTTTGATTTATTACAAATTGGCTTGGAATGTGCATACGTAAATGTATGTATGGGCTACACTTTGAGGGCATAACTAGATTTTAAAAGTTATTATAGTATTATTAATTTATTATTACTACTATTATCATTATTATTATTAATTAATAATATCACTATTACTAATCGAATATATTTGATTAACATTGGAATCGAATATGCTAATATTCGTATTTGATATCATTTTAAATCAAATTTAGTATTGTTATTTGTATGTATTTGAATTTTTGAAATCAAAACGTCTTATACGAATTCGAATCCCGAATCGAGCCAAAATTGATTGATTCGTTTACAACTATTCTCCACCGGAAACTACAAATCTATCCTTGTGGAGACTCAAGTGAAAAGTTACAGATTAACCATATATTCACAAATGTTTCTGATTTCACTCCAAACTCGTGTAGAATTTGATGCGATCATATCTTGCTCTATTTTGTGCCATTGAAAGCGTTTAATATCTCGTTGGAAAGATCTTACTGAGTTCTAAAACTTGTCTTCAGGCGCTGGTTTCAAAATATTAAGGGATGATTGCCTAATTACTAAAATACACTATATTTACGCTAAAAGTGCTCTATTTTCGCCGAAAACGCTAAATCATAGAGATAAGGCTAAGTATTTGTGACACTCATATCTTGTTGTGTGTTTATCCGTTTGGAGCGTATTATATCTCGTTGGAAAGATAGATCGGAGCTCTAAAGCTATGGTTTCAACTGATCATCACAGCCTCAAATACTTACTGCAGCAACGCCTTACAGCCTCACCGCAACAACATTGGATGAATAAACTATTGGGTTTTGATTTTTAAGTCGAATACAAACCTGGAAAATTGAATCACGTGGAAAATGCTCTATCACGGAGGGATGCAAATCCAGAAACCCTCATGGCAGTTACCATGGTTCACGCTCAGTTAATGGAGGATTTAAGGCAACACTTTCAGCACTCCGAGAAAGGCCAGATTGTTTTCAACAAAGCAGCACAATGGGGGAATTCTAATTGGACAGTCCGTGATGGCGTGGTCTATTACAAGTCCAAAATATATGTGCCAACTGATTTTAATTACATCCCTACCATCATAGCAGCAGTCCATAATGCTACTCATGAAGGGATTCACAAGACTCTGCACCGCATTAAAAGAGAATTCTATTGGAAATGCATGACATCTTTGGTAAAGGACTTCGTCACCAATTGTGCTATTTGCCAAAAATAAATAAATGGGAAAACTTGCACCCAGCAGGTTTACTACAGCCCCTTCCAATTCCTGAACACATATGGGCTGATATTTCAATGGATTTTATTGACGGGCTACCAAAAGTCGGGGGTAAATCAGTTATCTATGTAGTGGTGGATCGATTCTCCAAATACGCTCACTTTATGGCATTGTCACATCCCTACACAGCAGCATCAGTGGCTCATTATTTTTTCGGGAATATCTTTAAATTACACGGCCTGCCTGAAACAATAGTCAGTGACAGAGATGCAGTTTTCACAAGCTTATTCTCAAAGGATCTCTTTATGTTATGTGGCACACACTTGGCATTTTCTTCATCTTATCACCCACAAACAGACGGTCAAACAGAAGTTGTTAATCACACATTTGAAATGTATCTCAGATGTATGGTAGGAGATCACCCACGCAGGTGGGTAGACTGGCTGCCATGGGCTGAGTTCTGCTACAACACCTCTCTGCATTCAGCTTTGGGTACTTCACTCCTCAAGGTCGTATATGGGTGTGAACCGCCGAGGCTTATATCATACGAACCAGGGTCATCCAGAATAAAAGCAGTAGACGTTGCTTTGAAGGACAGAGATGCAATCCTGAGCGCTACTAGAAATCGCCTCACACGTGCTCAAGACAGAATGCGTCTTGCATATGACATCAAACATAGAGACGTTGTGTTCAACGAGGGACAGTGGGTTTGGCTTCGCCTGCACCCATATCGTCAATTCAGCGTAACCAAACGAACATCAGTGAAATTATCTCCACGGTATTTTGGACTATTCCAGATCACCAAGAAAATTGGCAAAGTGGCATATAAGTTGGCCCTTCCGGAGGGTGGTAAAGTCCATGATGTTTTCCACATTTCATTATTGAAGGAGGTTAAGGGAACGCCACCAGCAGAGCCTCCCACACTACCTAATCTCCATGATGGGAAGCTTCTGCCACAACCAAAAGAGGTCTTACGGGGTCATCTTAACAGGGGCAGAAAAGAGATTTTAGTGGTGTGGTCTCACATGCATCCAGATGAGGCTACTTAGGAGGATGCCGATAAGTGCACTCTTCACTTCCCTACCTTCAAGCTTGAGGACAAGCTCTATCTCAATGAAGGGAGTAATGATGCATTCATAGGGCGTCAATATCACCCTAAAAGAAAGAAAGATAAAAATCAGCAAATCACACAGACAAATAAAATCAAACAAATCTGGTAGAAAAATAAATCAGACAAATCTGATAAACTTGTCATAGTCAGGGATTTGAGATCCTTAGAGATCCGAGATATTATTTTCTGATTGCAATCTTTGAATTATTGTTTTCTTTTTAGTTGTTTTCTTTATTTTATTTTCCAAACTCTGTAAACCCTATTTAAAGGCCATTTGAATGCACGGAAACGTATGAAAGTTTCTGGAATTCTAAATAAAAAATTCCAAATTTTGATAAAAGTTTGCATAAATATATTATCCCTAGTTTCTGCCAAACAGTAAACATAGCCAACCCTCCATAGCTCAGTCTACCCTCCCACTCACCCGAAGGCCTGTGACGAGATCCTGCACACAAGCTGCCCGTAAAAGAAGAGAATAAAAGAGCAGACATGAGAAGGCTGGCCAGAAGTTTCTTAGAAAGTTGGGGAGAGATCCTCTCGAAGAGATCTCAGCTTTGTTCTTTTCTGTTCATTCTGTTTTCTCACAATCTCAGCTGTAATGCCCGTGTGATGAAACTATACACTAAGTGTTGAGTTGGATTGTATCAGAATATTTGGGATATTGGTATGTAATTTGCTGCACATTCATCTTGCTCTATTTGGATGTTTAGTGATGGTAAACTGGTATGCAGAAGAATCTAAAAATTCCTGTTTAACATTAACAGAAGTGAATCTTGTGTGATATTTTCAGCTTAGCTTTTTTGGGTTGTCCCAAAATGAATTCCCCCCTTCGTTTTTGGCATGAAATATGTGATCCTTATCATTTCACTTTATTCTACTCAAATCTCTATCACAACTTTTACTTTTCAACCACTTTATTAATAATCATGTCAACTTAAAACATGACAACCAATATGGGACGGGTAGTACTGA